ACTGTGCCCCAAATACCAGTGATTTTTTTTTTAACCTATTCTCTTGCAGTCATTTCTCCTAGGCCCTTCCATTAATTGATGACAGAGGGGGACCTGTGAGGAGTGTTGTGTTTGTCACACTGTTACAGCCACCTCTCAGGCATCCCCCACTAGCATGTCTTTTGCTCTCTCAGTCTGTCCTCACCACGTGGCTAATGTGGCAACCTCTGGCCCAGGACAGAGAATCAAGAATGCTGATCTCATTGATTTATTTTTTTTTTTTTACATCTCCCATGGTGCTTTGAGGTTATGGCTGGGAATATTAAGCATATTTGGCAGTTGGTGAGTTTTGAGTGCTTGCCAAGTATCCTCTAAGTTCCACCTTCCCCTTGGAAAAAACAACCCAGCCCTCAGGGGACACCCTGCCAAAGCTTTCCCTTGTTGCTGAAAACCTGGGGTGAGCTTGAGCTCTGCATGGATGTGACCAGGGATGTGCCTGGTAGGACAGGCACAGCAGAAGTAGCTCTACTTCCCATCTTAATTTTTACAAAAACTCCAGTGAATCACTTCTTAAAGTTTCTATGGCCCAAAACATCCTTTCACTAGGGCCCTGATGTGTGAATAATCTGAATAGTTCTGAGTGCTTCTGGTTTCTTTTTTGTTGGTTGTAGCCAAGCCCAGAATTAGATCAACATTTCCCTTCTGAGCCTCAGACTCTGGGTTTGGACTGCCAAGTTCTGATGCTTGATGATCCATTTGTCTGCAGAGCTTGTAGACACTCCAAAGAAATAACACCAGGAGAAGGGCAGAATGTCTGTAGTTCCAGGTGCTAGATTCTCTGTGCCAAGACACTTCATGAAGTTCTGCTTTCATCTTATCAAAAATCATGGGGAGGGGCAGATGACAGTGGAGCCTCCCAAAGGGGGACACAGACTAGGACTCTTTATGGAAAAGTACCTTCTTTTTCTTTCTGTGTCATAGTGAAGGGAGACCATGGTAGTCTCCAAATTATTGCTTTCCTCCTCAGATTTGACTCTGGGTTCCTTTACTCATGAGCTGTGTGACCTGTCTCTGAATTTCATTTACCAACTTTGCAAAATCATAATGCCTACTTTTCACAGATTTTTTAAAAATCTGGCTAACGACATATTCCTCTAGAACACCTTCCTTCAAAACCCAGGATGGGAGGAAGTGCTAAATTGCCCTTCTGTGTACTCCCATAGTATACCACATACATGCATCAGTCATAACACTTGATACTTTATGCTGAAATGCTGCCTACAGGACTCTCCCAGGAATAACCTATGGCTCGTTAGGAACAGTGTTTTCATCTGCTGTGTTTCCCAAGGTCCTAGTAGAATTTCTGGCAAATAGTATGCATTACCCACTGAAAATAGACTTCCCTTCTTGAATATCTTTCTTGATAAGTGTTACTTGTTTGTTTTTCCTGACGTGATGGTTCTCATTCTGGTTTTCTTTTTCCATTAAAAAAAAAAAAATACTGAAGACTGGAGATATAGCTCAGTTGGTAGAGTGCTTGCCCAGCATACACAAGACCCTGGGTTCAATCCCCAGCACCACTGGAAAAAAATACAAAACTTGATTTTATTCCTTATTTGTGGAGTTCTGGGAAAGCTTAAACTTGGGTGCTTATTTCACATTTATTTCCTTTTCTATTTAAGAGCAGTTGCAAAAAATATATGATTGAGGGGCTAGGGTTGTAGCTCAGTGGGAGAGTGCTTGCCTTGCATGTGTGAGGTATTGGGTTCAATTCTCAGCATTGCATATAAATAAATAAAAATAAAGGCCCATCAACAACTAGAAAAAATATTTTTTTTAAATATGATTGGAAGGAGAGAATAAATGGTAGTACAGTCAGGGAATTTTCAGCTTTCTTATCTTTATTATGTAGAGACTGTGGCTTTTGATGAAAAAAAAAAAAGACTGATGTGGGAATGATGAACCTATGCAGTTAGAGTCTGGTCCCTCCCAAGGCCTGGGCAAGCAGGTTTAGAGCATGTTGAGGCACATCCATTTGCTTGCCTTCTGCCTCTATTTTGCCATTACCTGCAGCCCACATACTTCCTAATCTTCTAGATGCCCTTGTTCAGCATTATAGTTTTATGTTTTGGGGACCTGAGCTCAGTGTTGAAAAACAGATGAGAGATTTTAAAATAATATTCTCAAAGACATGAGAACTAGGACAAGTAGGCATGTGAACAGGACACAGGTGAACCCAGGGATTGTGTTCAGACCTCACTGAGACACAGTTACCTAAATTTTGCTTTTCAGTGAAGATTTCTAGTAAACTTGAAAGAAGCTGTTCGGTGAAAGATGTGCTAAGACTTTATCCTGTGCCTCTCCAGACTGGTGAAAATATGCTTTCTAATGCATTTGCAAAAGGAGTCCAAAACACTGTACACAAAACAAGTGTCAGTCCTCCAGAACATTTTTTGTACAACCTGTCATAATACAAAAATTACTAAACCAATATTCCCACTATTTTCCTTTAGTCATACTTCATATGACATATCACCTGTCACTCAAAACAGAGTTGGTTGGACACTACATGCCAAAACTCAGCATTATTTCTTTTTTTGTGGTGCTGGGGATTGAACTCAGGGCTTTGTGCTTGCGAGGCAAGCATTCTAACAGCTGAGCTGTATCCCCAGCCTTGCAGCATTATCCCTTAGTACTTAGAATGTCACAGAAATTAGGGACCTGCCATGGCCAGACCACAAGGCTATTCAGGACCCACTCACCCCTATATTCCTGCATCTTCTCCTCCACATCATGTCTATCCCTCCTTAAAGGTCTAGTAAATCCTAAATGCAAGTGCATATTACTATGCCATATCTGGTAATACCTCCTCCCATCTTTACTTTGTCATGTGACTCTCTATAGTCCAGAACAAATGGATTCCACATATCTGTGTAAAAATGCACACAAATTGGTGGTAAAAATGTTACCAGACATCAGATGTATTGCTTACCTCAGATTTGCTGAATATTGCCTGTGTACTAAGCTTAAATAGTAGAGGAAGGTAACTGATATGCCTGTGGCACAGAATCACAAATATACATCCCAAACATGTATATATGGTTGTAAGTTCATTCACTATTCATAATAACCCTGGAAGGTGGGCATTCCCCTCATTTGTAAAACAGGACATTAGCTCTGAATAGTTAAATAATTTTTCAAGATCTGTCAGTTGCTGATGGAAACAGAGGTCTAACCTGAATTTGTACCTACATATGTACCTGTGTGGTATATCACTTTGCAATGAACACACCTCAGAATAAATGGTGAGCTTTCTCTGACCAAAACTGGGACAATAAGGAATATGAAAAAGGAGTAATAAGCCAGGCATAATGGTGCACGTCTGTAATCACAGCAGCTCAGGAGGCTAAGGTAGGAAGATCACAAGTTCAAAGCCAGCCTCAGCAATTTAGCAAAGCCCTAAGCAACTTAGCAAGGCACTGTTTCAAAATAAAAAATAAAAAGGGGGGCTGGGGATGTGGCTCAAGTGGTAGCGCGCTCGCCTGGCATGCGTGGGGCCCGGGTTCGATCCTCAGCACCACATACAAACAAAGATGTTGTGTCCACCAAAAACTGAAAAATAAATACTGAAATATTCTCTCTCTCTCTCTCTCTCTCTCTCTCTCTCTCTCTCTCTCTCTCTCTCTCTTTCTCTTTCTCTCTCTCTCTCTCTCTCTCTCTCTCTCTCTTTAAAAAAAATAAAATAAAAAGGGCTTAGGCCAGGTACAGTGGTACACATCTATAATCCAGCAGCTCAGAAGGCTGAGGCAGGAGGATTGAAAGTTCAAAGTCAGCCCCATCAACTGAGTAAGGCCCTAAGCAACTTAGCAAAACCCTGTCTCAAAATTTAAAAAAAGGCTGGGGTGGCTCAGTAGTTAAGCATCCCTGGGTTCAATCCCTGCCCCCTCCAAAGGAATAATGATTGCAGTAAGGGAACATGTACTAGATTAAGGGAGACCAAAGAGACATAGAAGTCAATTCAATATTTTAGTTCAAAAAAATCCATGAGTCCATAGTGGTACTCAGACATATACTAAAGAATGACAGTGGAGGAGCTGGGGTTGTAGCTCAGCAGTAGAGCACTTGTCTCACACATGTGAGGCACTGGGTTCGATCCTCAGCACCACATAAATAAAGTAAAGCTATTGTGTCCATCTTAAAAAAAAAAAAAGACTGACAATGCAGTAGGAATGACAGAATTATGAAAATGACTTTTTTTTGACCCCAGTACACTGACTCAGGAAAAGATCAACAGACTTTCAGATCACTAGATGGAAGAATGCTAGGGCAGGTACTCCTATAGTTTCTGAATATCACCCCATACATGAGTGATATTTAGAGAGGAAACTGTGCCTTTGTGTTGGAGAGATGATGAATACCACTTTACCCATATGGTAAGGCTGAATAACCACAGCAGAGGGGCACAACATCATCCATGTGGTATTCTTACTCTCTACATTGTTTACCATGAAAGGCCATGGGAGACAGACAAATTCACAGCATGAGAAGGTCTGTGAAACAGCTAGCCCAGGTACCTTGAAGTCAGCTAAACAGTGCATGAACCTTGACTGGATCCCAGATCATCCCTGTGGGGGCCTGAGGCTGTTAGAAGGAAAGCTGCTTTAGAGCCATGTAGCTCCTGGCAGTGAGAACAGCTACCCAAAGGTCTAGCCCACATCTCCTTTAGCCCACCCAGTCACTGTCACCAGTTACCTGGTCTCTTTTTTCAACCTGGCCAGAGGTTTGAGGTGATACAGAGCAGATGTGGATATACAGTCTGCTTCTTCCATTTAGGGCAGTTCTTCCACTTTTATGTCAGCATCCTTACCAGCCTTGGCTTTCAACCCACCCTATGTTCTGACGTCATATGAGGGCTGTCCATCCTTTCATGGAAATGCGTGGTGGCTGCCTTGGATACCTAGATGTTAAGTTCAGTACCCATATTGTGTCATCAAGACTTTGCCTCTTTGCTTGCCTTGCAGGTTCCAGTGTAAATGGCCTGGAGGAGCCTAGCATGGCCAAGAGGCTGAGGGGCACTCCTGAGAGAATCGAACTGGAGAACTACCACCGGTCTGTGAAACGGGCAGAGGAGCTGGAGGAGGTACCTGAGGAAACGCAAGCCGAGCACAACCTGAGCAGCATACTAGACAAGGGCACCGAAGAGGACGTGGCCAGCAGGTCAGCCTGCGCCTGTGGCTTGCCCAGCTACCCCAGAACAGTGGTCTCACCACAACCTCCAAAGGAATATTCCACTTTGCTGGGGAGGGCAGCATAGGTCTAAATCAGACTTTCTGGGTTGGAATCTTGAATCTTCTTCTTTCCAGCTGTGGAAACCTAGGCAATAGCCCCTATATGCTTCAGTTTCTTCATCTGTAAAATGAAGATAATATTAGTGCCTTCCTCACAGAATTGGTAGAAGGATTAAAGGAGAAGATTGGTATAAAGTGTTTAAAACAATACTTGGCACATGTAAGTGCTTGTGGGTTATTTTGCATGATGCTGATCATGTGCATTTGATCACCCTCATGGGACCTATGAGATAGACAAAAGCATGTTTTGTCACCTTATAGGTAAGACTAAAGCTGAGATCCCAAATTAGGTTTTCTAGGTTCAGGCCCAGGACTCTTCCTGTTTTCCCTGCTTCCCTGTGTTCCATTTAGGTTCTTATTTCTAAATCAACATCAGCAGTTACTATTATTATTAATATAGTACCTTATAGGCCTTTGCACGGTATAGGTGTCTATAACTAGGTAGGGCAGGGCCCATAAGGATCACATTCGTAAGATTTACTTCATATTCCATGTCTTTAGCACTTTGTTAATCATTGAAAAGGTAACAGACAAGAGATAAGTCATATTTTGTTGTCCTCAAATGGTTGTTTAAAGGTAGGAAGTTTCATGGAAGTAGCACTAGGGTTGAATTAGTCCTGAATTCACTGCATAGCCTTAAGGAAGCCACCTCACTTCTCTAGTGTTCTTTTGTCTTCTGTGGGTAAAGAGAAGGGCAGAAACCTTGCATGCCAGAGACCACATGCAAGCGTCTTATGCTTAGCCCATCCCTGTGTTTAATTCTGTTTGATCCCTTTGGGTGCGACACACACTCCAACCCCCAGAGAAGTCCCTGCATCTGTTGCCTCTTTCAGGTGTCACTGGAGAAGGATGGGTACTGAAAGATAACGAAGATAAAAAATAAGGGGCAAAATTATAGGCCAGACTTATCCTGTGGGGCTTCTGGATCAGAGCCCTAGCTGCAGCCCCGGATGGGTGGAGGCTTCTGGTTGACCTTTCAAAATATTCGAATCAGATACTGGGCATTTTTTATCTAGCTGTGATGAAGGGATGTGTGGGGTTAAAGAAAGCAGTGCGGTTTTTTTTTTTTTTTTTTTTTTTAAGACCTCCGAATATTTCTCAGAAAGTGTTCATTGGGCAGAGCTGTGTTCAGCTATATCTCACCCCCCCGCCCAGGCATACTACAGACAAACTGGGTGAACCACTACTTGGGCTGACTCTGCAAACAGCCTTTTTGTGCATTTCGGGGCAGCCTTTCTCTTGGTACCCGCAGTTCTGAAGCTGTCACTAATTGCACATCATTGTCACATAGCTCTGCCTCTTATCCAGAGACATACCCTACCCTCCAATGCTCACAGAAGGGAGATCCACACAATGCCTGTGTTGCCAACATCACAGTGAGAAAGGGAGATCCCATACATCCAAGTACATTGATGAACCCTTAAGCAGACCTTGGGTCAGACATAAAATCAGTCAGCATCTCTACAGTGCAACAAATGCCCCCATTAGTTTAAACTCAAATTGAAAAAAAAAAAAAAAAAGCAAAGGCTGGGGAAGTGGAGAAGTGATTCAGCAGTAGAGTACTTTCCTAGCATCTGCAAGGCCTTTTAGAAAAAGGAAAAAAATTAAAATAGTAATAAGTCAGCTTCAGATGCCACACATAATGAAGAAAGTTGTCTCAGTGAGAGGCCCAGAGAAAGTAGCTATAGATTTTGTCTTCTCTAGGGAAAAGCAGTAATATGCAGGAAATGGGCCATGTGTTGTTTCCATCTTCTCTACAATACCAAACACAGAGTGAGGTGAGCTTTCAGCTCTTAGCCCTTCTTGATGACATGTTAGATTCGATGATGAGAAATGACTTAGTTTTAAGGTATTATCCAGTCAACCCAGGAACATACTTTTCACAGGTTCAGAGAACTCAACTCAGGCATCTGCTGTGGGAGACAGCATGGTTTGATATTTCAGAACATGGTTGAAAACATCAGAGATAAACAGATCTAGACTTGAAGCCCGGCTCTACCAATTACTGGTTGTGGGCAAGTTATTTAGCCTTTCTGTGCCTCATTTTTTCTCATCAGCAAAGGACATTGCCTCATAGGTTTATTTTGAAGATTAAATCAAATAAAGCCAACAGAATGCCTGGCACCCATTGGCTGCTACATCCAATGTCAGCATTTACTTTACTCTCTATTTTTTACCTTGTAGGTCCATTCACAATGCAGGTGTCCCTCTCTAGTTGGGGCAGGGCCAGGGACTCTTGAACTGGTTTTCTTAAAAAGAGGAATTAAATGCCAGAAATTGGGTTTGGCTCACTCACCCTGCCCTAGGGCATTGTTGACTTTCCATACATCATAACCACCCAGGGCGCTTGCTAAAGCACAGGTTGCTGGACTGAGTGCTGATTCCATGGATCTAGGGTAAAATCAAAGAATTTTCATTTTAAAATAGTTACCAAGGGGTGCTGTCATCAGGTAACCACCCTGTGAATTGCTGCTCTGAGATTTCCAAATTGCCATTATGATAAACATCTGGGGCATTTGATAAAACAGTAATGTAAAGGCCCTCTCATTCTAGTGTAGGTTGGTGTAGTGTAGGTTGAATGTCTGGTTTTAACAGGCATCCTAGGTGAGACTTTTTTTTTTTTTTAAGGTGAGTCTTAAAATCAGACTTATGGTTTAGTTCATACAAGTGGTAAACATCCTAAATCTTATCACAGACTCTGAACCCAGGTCTAAGTAGCTACCTGACCCTTCCTTGCAGGCAAGGTGGGAGCCTATCTTCTGGAGAACAGTCTAGAAATGGCATATGTATTTTTCTATATAGCAAGACCAGGTGACAAAAGAGGAAGGAGATCCAGCTCTATAATGTTCATTACCCTGACCCAAAGAATTTGCCACAGACAAGGAAGACAGTTGATGCAGTACCCATCTGCTGGCAACTTTAGTGTGTTCAGATCTGTGGTTCTAAAGTACTAATCAGTTAGTACTAGAGCAGACAGATGTGCTCTGGGATGGGACAGCCAAGGTCACAGAAGACTTCTCCAAAGTCATCAGCAGTCCAGTCCAAATGGGCCAACCCTCCATTAGAATAAGACCACAAAGAAAAAAGGTACTCCCTCAAGGTTGACAGGTTGACCATGAATACATGGGAATTCTTGCCCCCCCCCTCTCTCTGTATGTATGTGTGTGTGTGTGTGTGTATATATATATATATATATATATATATATGCACATACATATTCTTTTCTAGCACAGATAGTAACATGAGCTACCGCTGAGCAGGATGCTAGGTCGAGCACACATTAGATTTCCACCATGTGAAGATCACTGGGCAGTGTACATCTTCTCTAGACATCTGCTTCTGATGCTTTACTGTGTTCACACAGTTGTCAGGGTGAGTGGGAGCTAGGAGTGTGATTGAGCCAGAGAGCGTATTGCAGTCTCTCATTAGGAGAAGCTCAACTTAAAGAGTAAAAATTGTGATACCTGTTTCTCTCTGAAAACCACCCTGTAGCTTCAGGTGATGCCCCATGCAGAATTCTGCCTCGTGCACAATGGAGCCTGCCTTAGTTCCCATCCTTGCCTTTTCAAGGAAAATGTAGGCCACCAGAGAACAGGATCATGATCCATTTCCTGGGGTTGCCACCCTGACAGCTGCTAATACCAAAGCATTCTTGTGTTCTTGAAGAACCACCAAAGAGTGCACAACGTGGTGTGTGGTGTGGAGGCTGCTGGGAATCCTGAATCCTCTTCACACCAACCTCCTTAGGCTGCAGTTTCTCATTTTTAAAAATGGGGAAAATGGGCTAGGGCTGGGGTTCTGCAGTAGCCTACTTGCCTGGCATGTGTGAGGCACTGGGTTTGATTCTCAGGTGATGCCCCATGCAGAATTCACATATAAGTAAATAAAGTCTATCAACAACGTATATATATAAAATATATATATGGAAAATATAACCATATGTGATGGTGCATGCCTGTCATTCCAGTGACTTGGGAGGCTGAGGAAGGATCTTATTAAGTTCAAGGCCAGCCTGGGCAGCTTAGCAAGACTCTGTCTCAAAATAGAAAATAAAAAAGAATGGCAATGTAGCTCAGTGGTAGAGCACCCCTGGGTTCAATCCTTAGTACCAAAAAGAAAAACTGGGAAAAAATACAAGATGTGTATCCCTCATCTGAAACATTGGATTTCAGATTTCCAGGTTTTTCTATTTTGGAGTATTGGCATAGACTTTACCAGTCGTGCATCTCTAATCTAAAACTCTGAAATCTAAAACTCTAAAAGCCAAAACTTTTTGAACATCATGAAAAGTGCTCGAGTTTTAGCTTTTGAATTTTTGAGTTAGGGGACATTCAACCTTTCTAATAGTAGCTGTGCCCTAGAGTAGCTGAATAGCTAAGTGAGCAAATACAAAGGAAGTGCCTTTTAAAAAAAAAGAAAGAAAATTTACAATGATTTAAAAAAAAACAAAAACATCTTGGGATTGGGGTTGTGGCTCAGCACTAGAGCACTTGCCTAGTGTGTGTAGCAAAAAAAAAAACAAAATAAAAAATTTAGCAAAGAAATGCGACATGTTGCATGGCTATCCTCGGGGCTCAGTTGACCTTCAGTATTACTGTCCTTCACCATTATCGTTGTCCTTGGATCTTTCCTTCCTGACCACAGCAAAACCTTTGCTTAGCTCAGTTAAGTTGAGCAGACCGTGTCTTTTACAATCTAGTCCATGTGTTCATCAGTTTTGTTTCCTCCAGCCAGTCCCCTCAATTTCTCAAAGAGAAACTACCCGAGGGAAAACTTAGGGAAGGTACTTCAAGATGCATAATTGGATATATATTATCTCAGGGAGAATTTTTTCTGGATATTCTTTTAACTGAAAGGGTCAGCTCCTTTTGACCAGGCTTTGCCAAGGGGGATCCCAAGATATCTGTGATAGTTCTGAAATTAGGGAAAGCCTGCCTTGACCTTCCTGCTTGTGGTCCCTGGGCATTCCACCCATCTTGACTCTGCTAAGCCCTGTGATAAGTACTCCAGCAAACAAAGCAGCCCTGTCCCTGCTCTGAGAGAGAGTGCGGTTCTGGTGGAGAGACAGACCCTAAGCAACCCACAGGACACCATATTGTTACAGGACAAAAAAATGGATACCTGCTGTGAAGGAAAGGTTATCCTTTTTTTTTTTTTTTTTTTTTTTTTTTTTTGAACTAGGGGTCAAACCCAGGGCTTTGCACGAATGCAAGGCAGACACTTTGCCACTGAGCTTCATCCCAGCCCGGGAAAGCTTATCTTGATAACTAGATTTTCCAAGCCACATTTCTCCCAGGAAGCTGTATCCTTAGAATAGCTTTTTTTTTTTTTTTAAATCCTTTTTTTCCCAGAAGAAGGGAGATGTTAGTTGTATGTATTGCTTCCCCCCTATAAGAATCCTTTCCACTGCAAAATTTTCCAGGCTATAGTTCAAGGGATCTATTTCTCCTTCCTTTCCTCCAGTTTCAACAACCCAGGTCCAGAGAGATTCAGGAGTTGGGGTCAGCCAGAAAATGTAAAATGAGCCTTGAGATGCTGTAGTTACACTGCAAATCTTTCATGAGGTTAGGGGCCTGACCAGCCCCAGAGACTACCTTGAGTAGTAGTCTATGAAAATGATGGCATGGAAGGGAGCAGTTGACAGCACCTTTCAGATTTTCTCTGTCCTTTACATGGAGAGGGAGTCTGGTTAGCCTCCCTGGGATGTCCAGGGACAAGTAGCATTTTGCCTCTTGGAAGTGGGCTAAGCATGTAACTTATGAAGAAAGGCAAGGATTGAATTTTTTGCTTTCTTTCATACTCCATGCCTCACTTACTGCACTCCCACGATCATTGAGCTGTCGTAAAACCAGCCAGAGTGGCACTAATAGCTATAAGTGGGGCCTCATTGTCATCATCACAAGGGATTTATTCAATGCCTGCATTGTGCACAGTGCATCCTCATGACACTGCTTGGGGCAAGGACAAGGCTGTACTAAGGCCCCCTCTCCCAGGAAGCTGTAATATCGTTCCTTCCAGTCCACTAACTACTGAGGCAGCCTTAAACAAGTCCCTGGTTGCACTCAGCCTTGAGGAAGGGACAGCATGGCCTTCCCTGTGCCCACCAAAGATTTAAGATGAGCATAGAAGCCTCCTTATCCTTATTTTATCTTTGAAAGATGTGTAATGATATATTAATAAGAAAATAAACTAACAAAAACAGAGGTGTGGGGCAAACAATATATTTAGTCAACTTTTTGTTGCTAAGACCAACAGTGAGACAAGAACTACTGACAAGAACAACTCAGAAGAGGAAATTTTTATTTTGGCTTCAGAGGATGGTTTCAGAGGATTTGGACTATGGTTGACTAGCTCCAAGGCAAAAACATCATGATGGAAGAGAATGGCAGCCAGGAAGTAGTCTAGAGAAGAAGAGGAAGGGAACAGGGACAGACTCCCTGAGGTCACACCTCAGTAACCTATTTGAGACAGGACTTTACTAATTTACCAAGGCTTGCTGTGGACTTGCTACCCTTCTGTCCTAGCTTCCCAGGTACCAGTGATTACAGGCATGGGCCAAGTTTTTGTGTACTTTAACCTGCTACCTTCCAGCCCTCAGTCACACCACACTCTCATTCTACCTTACTTTATCATGATGTGTTTGCATCTTATCTGTCTTTGAGAATAAGGAGCTTTTGGGGATCACTTTTATGTTTCTGCACGTTTAACAAGTACATTAGAAGTAAAAGACAATAAATTTTAGTTGGATGAACGAATGAGTAAAGTGAGACTCACTGGAAGGACACAGCTTTTTATTTCTATATCCACTGGCTTAGCTTTAGTGAGTGCTCAAAAATGTTTATTGAATGAATGAATGATTGAAAAATTGTATAGCTAAATAAACAAATAGATGAATAGCTAGAGCCCCAAAGTATAATGCAAGCATGATGAAAGTCAATGATCCATCAGAACGTGCCTGAGGGGAGGTATTACAAGACATCCTGACAAATTAGAAAATCATGGCTCAGAGAGCATAAGTAATAAACTGAAGGTCACAGTAGCAAAGCCAATGTGGCATTGTGAGGAGTTAGGAGGCAAATAAGAGGGAATGAGGCCCAAGACCACCCTCACTTCTGACACCAGTCACAAATTCTGATGTGATGTGATGACCCTCAGGTTCAATAATTTGCCAGAAGGATTTACAGAACTCCCTGAAAGCAATTATACTCACAGTTGTGGTTTATTACAAGGAAAAGATGCAGTTTTAGAAACTAGCCAGGGGAAGATATACATATGGTAGACTGCAGAAAACTATGAAATTCAGGGCTTTTGTTGTTCTACCTCATAGAATCAGGAGAGCGTTGCTTCTTGGTGTTGATGTATGTCAGTACCCATCGAAGAATTCACCACCCAAGCCTGGCTGTTAGGAATTTTTATTGGACTCTATTACATAGGCAATGACTGATTGATAGTTCACATGTATCTCAGTCTCTAAGTCAACATATACCAAGTAACCCAGTACCCCCACCTGAAATCACATCTTTGGTCTCTCTTATATGACTGTCCCCCAGCTGACTTTGGGATGTGACCAGCCCTCAACTAGATCCCAATATTAGACTGTCTACCAAAGACCTCAATCAGTATAGTCCAGGGGGTCAGAATTTACTTCACAAGGACAAGGCTAGACCTCTCTTTGGATAAGATTCTTCCCCACATAGTACCAGAAGCATCCATGTTGAACGTTATTGTCTTCATCTGGGTCTGTTCACTGGCTTCCTCACTCTCAGACACAAATGAGCTATGAGAAAGTCTTCCCTGGATAGAGAGAGGACTGCACCTTAATAGGAAGCTGAAACTAAACCCACTTCATGCCTGATTTCCTCTGGAGCTTGGGGCTCTATCATCCAGAGTTTGGTCCAGTGCTTTATTATGAAAGCCACATTTTCTTCGATCCAATTAAGTATACACTTCTCACCACAGGCAAAGTCTCTACTGAAAAAGATTCTTTAGGAACTATCAGACTGTGAAACAGGCCTGGAAACTTCTCCATTTGAGCCCATACCACTGTGGGGGGTGGAATTTTATTCGTGTCCTGCCTGTTATACTGCTTCCTTCCCCAGGGCAAAGAGGGATCATCCTAAAGGGCAGTGGTCAGGTTCACATAAGTTTTGCACATAGCACTGCTTCTGTTGCAAGCTGAGCTGGCCTTGTTCTGTGAAGGATACAGATGTGGAGAATGTAGCAGGTTGTCAGGCATGATGATGACTGCAGGGGGTTGGGTCCTCTCCTGATGGTTTTTTTGCTTTAGCTGTGCAGTGGGCAAGGCATTTACTGCCTTTTTACCTTTGTGTTCCCCATAATATGCAGCTCCGGGATTGGCACATTGTGAGGTCTCAAGGAACACCATGAAATTGGATCTGCTGCTTCCTCCCCCAGCCCCTGCCCCAGCACATACACACACCCCACACTGATTGCAAGGCACTGTGTTTATTTCAGCCTCTTAGGGCACCTTCTCTTTCTCCCTCACACCTATGGTTCTCACAAAAGGCTCCTGACTGACCTGAATCAAGTTAGAACCAAGTTCTTCAAACCAAATGGTGGGTCAAGGTGAAAGAGGACTTTCTCTTCTCTCTCAATTCCAAGAGTTATGTGTTTATAGCAAAACAAGTCCACTGTCCCCTGCTGTGTTTCTCCAGGCCCTCTGTGAACACTTACCCAGTGGTCATGGTGTTTACTAGCCTGTTGTGCCCCACCAGGCTGGGCTTTTTGCTTGTGTGGGTCCATGTAAATGTTCACTTATAAATGTAATTCATCCTGCCCTATTTGTTACCCTCTTTCCATTCTTATGTTCCCTCCCGCTTGACAGGTGCTTTGCTGGGACATATTACCTCCAACTGTGGCACTGAATCTTCCCTTCTCAATTTCCTGGCATTCCCTCACTTGGTTTGTGTGGTTATCTTCATAGCAGTTCCGAGTCGGAAATGGAGGAAGAAGAGGAGGAGGAAGAGGAGGAGGAGCAGCTGCCCACTTCTGACCTGGGTGGTGTTCCTTGGAAGGAGGCTGTAAGGATCCACGCTCTTCTGAAAGGGAGGAGTGAGGAAGAGTTAGAGGCCTCCAAGAGCTTTGAGCCTGGGGAGGGAGAAGAGGAGGAGGAAGAGGAATATGAAGAAGAAGAGGAGGAAGAATATGACGAAGAGGAGGAGGAGTCCAGTGAAGGTCAGAAAAAAGTCTCTTCTCCTAACCCTGACCCTGTCCCTCTGAAATAATCTGTCCCATGTATGAGAGTGACAGGTGTAATTGGCTGGAGTCACATGGACACCTCCCACAGAGCTTCAAAATAATCCTTCCTGTTGCTCCCTGACCTTAGGTACAGGGACAGAGGAAGGATACCAAATCAGGCAGACAGGCCACTGTGGGAATAATGTCCCTGGTGCAAATTCAAATTTTTAATTGGAAGTAGAAAATATGGGCCAATCTAAGGATTTTGACTTAATTAACCTACTCATTCCTGTCTTCTTCTCATTTCCGCCCCCCAAGCCCTTTAGTTTCAGTTATAGACATTGATTGTAATAAAACAAGGGAATTTAACTTCCTAGAGGAATCCTTGATTTCTGATCTTGAGTAATGAAGACTGCTTTGAGCTAGATGCCCACCAGACAGGGTGCTGTCAGTGATACTCAGAATAACATTGTGGGAGGCTAGGGACATAACTCAGTTGGTAGAGTACTTGCCTTGCATGCACAAGGCCCTGGGTTCAAGCCCCAGCACCAGAAAAAAAACAAAACAAAAAGAACAGAATAACATTATGGGGCCAGAAATCCTGAAAAAGAGCATCTTAATTGCAGAATTCAGTCATCCTGGTTGGTTCTGAAATAATTCTCTTAAACTCAAGGGTTTTTTTCAATTTTGTCCCTCTCTCTGGCTCTATGTAACCTTGAGTGATGATGATGAACTTGCTGAATAGAAAGAGAGGGTCATTCTTTCCCAGCCCTAGCTGTACAGAGGTCCTGTAGGAGGTGAGGAAGGAAGCAGCACAGGTAGAGACCTGACTCCCCTGCGGAGGTCTTTACTTTCTGTCCTGGGGACTCAGAACCAACGGATGGGAGGACATGGGCCTTCTAATTTCTAAGCCCCAGTTTCTCCCCAGGAGTCAGAGGAACAGATTAAATTCTGAACAATGTGGGCACAGTGGAGTTGGTATATGATTGCTCTGCTGGGATTTATCTCTGCTTCTTCTGAAATTCGATGTGCTCACTACCCAGGCCCATCCCAGGGGCCATTTCCTCTGACACTGTAATATTTAAGCCCTTCACAGACAGGGCTGTGGTTCACAAGCCAGACCTGACACCTGTGCAGTTTAAGACAACTATAAAGAGGTGGTGAGGACAGGATAGCACCCTAATCATGAGACCCTGGACTTGAGTAGTCAGTGTCAGGGCACTTCCTCAGAAACTTCCCTGTGGAGTTTCTCTCCCTGTCCTTCTGCACTCGCCCCTCTGAAAGTGGAGACCAAGGCTGGACCAGGACTTACAAGGCAGTATGCTTTACAGCCTATACTCCCCGCCCAGTTTTTTTATGAGCCTTGAGTAGGTCTGTGCGAGAAGGAGCTAGGCCCTGGCTGGAGCCTGAGTTCTCTCATTCTGCCATGTCTGCGGAGCCACACTGGTCCAGAGTTGCCTCCATGTTCCCCTAATTAGAGGAGGTAGTTGGTGCAGGGGGAAGGTATTTTGTTTGCTTCATTATCTCTGTGTGATTATTATGCTTAATGACTTTTAGCTTCAACACAGCTTAGAGTCAGAGCTTTTTCCATTTTCAGGAGAGTTTAGCCCACTTTCCCCTTATGAAGACTAAGTTCTGGGCTTGGACTTAAATGTTAAGACCAAACTTATAGGGAATTGGGGCCTTAGCTAGATAAACACATACTAAAATATTCAGTCAAACTCTAGACATTTCCAGGTGGGAACCTTGTGTTCCCAGCCTGGAGTATGTCTTCTGAGCAGTGGACTTCCACACCTGTGTAGTCAGTGACAGGATGCTACTATCTTGTCACTGAAGATAACTCTGCTTTCTATTCTTTTTCCTCCTTTCGGTTCCCTTTTCTCTCCATTTGTCCCCCTGCGGGATTCTTGATGCTGCTTGTGGGTGTCTGGCTCCCCCTGCTGTAGAAGGGGAGTATTGCCCCTGGGACAGAGAACTCCTGCAAGGCCAGTGGCTCCAGCATCTCTCAAAGGAAGAAGAAACGGGTACTTGTAAAGGTACCCACTTCGCTCCCCTGCCCACCTTCTACCCTGGCTCCCTAGCAGCCATCCAAAATTTGCCTCCAAGAGCAGGTCCCACATGAAAAGATCTGTGCATTTTAGAGCTATGCTGCACATATCTAGCTGGTCACCTGTCTCTGGGCCCAGCCTTCCCAGACAAAGTAGAGAAGAGCATATTCCAGAAATGGAATATGGCCCCATTTCTATCCCTGTGGGTTTTTCTGCAATTTCTCCTTATCCAGTTAAGATTCAGTTTCTTCTCTAATGCAGAAAATCTTACAATGCGGCCACAGCTCTTCTGTCACCACCACCACAGGTGCCTTTAAACATTTCTCTGAGAAAGAAAGAAGTGCTGGCTTCATGCTGTTGATAAATCCCCAAGGCTGCATGTGGTAACAGGAAGCAGAACATTACTCAGGGAGAAGACTCACTCTCTTCCCTTGTTGCTTAGAAGGTAAAGAAAGGTCCTGCCTCTTTTCTTTTGACTTATCTTCCCCAGGCCTAAATCTGAGCTGTTTGGAGGTGTTGCTGTAATTCGGCCCTCTCCAGTACCATAAAGGCAGATAAACTGGCCTTGCAAATAGTCCTTCAGTCTATAGAGACCAGCAGCTCCAGTAAGGGAGCCCATGAGGGGCTAATACCCCACATTGATAGCATAGGTCAGCATCCACATTGGTGATCTTATTGGTTCTTCCAATCCAAATCAGAGGTTGTCACAAAACTAAAACCAGGTTGTCCAGTTAGATTATTGAAGGAAGGGGTGACATATACTCACAGATAGACACTGGCTCCTGCTAAGAACTGAAGAGTCCTTCAGATCGATGGCACCTGCTCTTGCTGCCTGAATAGTCGTCCTTCCTTCTGTAGTATCCCCTCCTTCCAAGTTGCTAGCTATTCCTTTATCTTAACCCAACCCCACTGTGTAGCATGATGCAAGCCTTAATGATAGGGATTTCACAAGGCAGGGACTGCATGCAGATTCCACAGGCTCTGTCAGCAAGAATAAGCTGAAAGGACTGCCTGTGAGTCTTCATTTAACTGAGAAACCAGGTCTCATGTCTAGAGGGATCAGTAGGATACCAAATGGAGTTTTAAGGAAAGGAGCTTTGATAGTTTTGATTGGGGGTGGGGGATGGGCAAAGAGGTGTGGGTCTCCTCCCTACCCCTAAACTCCTGGAGTTTGGGGACTTCACAATATAGAGTTGTGCTTCTTCCCTAAGCTGCTGCCTCCCCTAACTCCATCCTCCCCAACATCTGTGTCCCTGGCAGACCCAGCATGCAGCATGAGAAGATCTCTTATGGAAGGGGCTTTTTTCTCTCTAGTAGAAGCTCTTACTGCAGAAAACAAAAACTACAATATAAACATAGTACATTTTTGTCCTATGTGAGTTGTCTGGCTTGTGGCAGAATGGCACTGTCCCATCCCACCTTTCTGTTGTCACTTGACTGAAGTCTCAGAAGTGGTCAGCTTGGCAAGTGGTGGTAAGCACTTTGCTGTATAATCAACAGGGGCATAAATGGCGTGACCTAGAGGGCCTCATGCTGTGCTAGGTAATCAACCTGAGTTCTTATCACTCTTGGAGGAATGGCCCTTTAGAAGTCAGTTGTCATCTGCTTTTTCTCCACCTTGGCATTTGGATCCCTCAAAAATCATTTAGGATGAAAAGGGCAGCAGAATCTGCATTTGGAGTTGGAATGTGTGGTTCTCTTCACTGAAATTAATAGTACACATGAAGTTCAAAATGACTAATCCGAACTGAATGACTAGAAGTTACATGCGTGTGAGCACATGTTCTTGATTTTTACTTCTTTCTATTCAAACTGCTCCTGGCAAATACTGTAACTCTTCTTTCTGTTTCCTTTCCTGTGATGTTTTATCCCCTCCTTTTCTGTTTATTTTCTCCTTCTACCCTCCCTGTCATCTCCATCCCTTAAACCTGGCACATTAGCTGGGAACCACAGGCTACAGCAGATACTAAATCCAGCAGATCCCTTGGCGATCCAGGCTGATGTGCACTGGACACACATTCGTGAGAAAGAGGAGGAAGAAAGAATGGTCCCAACCTCTGAATCTTCCACTTCTAGAGGTAACTGCTTCAAGACCCAGGATCCCATGTGCTGCTGTAGAGGACCTTTCTGCTAAGACCAAAGCCTCCCATTTTGATCAAAAGTAGAACCCAACAAAACATTACATTTTCTGCTGTTAACCCAGACAAGTGTCCTTGACTCTCATTTGAGGATATGTAAAGTTCTCTATGGATTAAGAGGTTGCAGGCTCCTTCTCCAGTAATGCAAAATAATAAACTGAATTTGACCTGGGGAAAAAATGAGAATTCACTTCCTGTCCCCCATATTTCTCGGCTGGGGTCTTCTTTGCCCACTCTATAGAACATGCTGGTGCTTTCCTCATGGAGTGTGTCTGAGTGTGACTGTGTATGACAGGAGGAAGAGAGGGAAGCATATTTAGAAGTAAAATTAAGAAGAGATATATATCAGGGAGGTTTCTAAATTCACTGCATTATTTTCAACTCCAGGTTTTAGGTGAGTTGGTCTGTGTTTCCCAATAAGATGAAAACGTACCTTATTCAGTGGTTTTTGTTTTGTTTTACTTTGTTTTGTTTTGTTTTCTTTGTTTTGAGACAGGGTCTCACTATGTTGCTCAGGCTGGTCTCTGACTCCTGGTCTCAAGTGATCCTTCTGCCTCAATCACCCGAGCAGCTGGGCTCCAGGTGCATGCCACTGCACCTGGCCTCTGGCTTCTTTTAAGGAATACCAATAATAGAAAACAAAGGACTCTGTTGAAGGATTCATTGACTGCATATCATTCCTCTCAGCTACCCATCTTCCAATATGGACCCTTGGTCATCACCTCTGTCTGGCTCATGTAGCTTCACATATTCTTTGTGCCTATTATAGGCCACACACCCTTCAAGGCTCTGGTTATACAAAAGGGATTCTTCCTTGCCCTCGTGAAACTTAGCCTTTAATGCACTTTTTATCCTTCCAGCCCCCAACTCTTCCCTTGTAGGTAAGACCAGCCTCTGTTAACAGCTTTTGCAGAACTTTAGATACCCAGAAGCTATGCTGAAGTTGATGTGAGAGCCCCCGCTGACCAGGGCACCTGACTGACCTACGGCATTGACCAGGAGCATCCTGCAGCCTCCCTTGGGTTTTCTCTCAGGATAATGGCGGATCATTACCCCTCATCCATGCCAGACAGACCACTCTCTGCTCAGTTTCTTTTCTGTTTTGGACTTTAGGAATGACCACAGCTCTCCTCACTGGGAATGCTTACTGCTGTGTAACTTTGTATTTATCGTCTGTTTTAAATTCAGTGCCTGGCCTTCCTTCCATACGCCGTGCAGCAGTGCAGGCCTGGCTGGAGACGGTCTCTGGAGGTAGTCGGTGATGTTTGATCTTTTCCCACTCACCATAACCTTTCTCTTTAGGCAGCTCTGCTGGTGCCTTAACACTAGAACTCTGGTCCTGTCGCTGGTGCATGCGAGGGTGGAGCCAGAGGCGGGCGGGGGCACATGCATGCCTCACTCAGGCAGCCCATCCTTGCATGGACCAGAAGTGCATCCCACATTCTACAGGGCAGATTGGAGGAGAACATTAGTGGAGACAGAACTTGTTCCATTAATAGAGGTTGGATACAATAACCAAAGCTAAAGGAACCTTTTTTAGCACTGAGGTTTAAGTATGTAAAAAAAATAGGTAGTAATTGAGTATGAAAACAGAGGAATCAAAATAAAATTCCACAAACCTACCAAAATATCACAGAAGGAAACAGTCAAGACTCAGGGGCAGAGGGCATTTACAAGAATTATCAGAGAGGAGGGGAGGGCAAAGGACTGGTATTATACAGCTAAGGGAAGAGGGTACAAGCAGGACATACTAAGCTACAGGTGTCTCTTCAGCTATTTATGCCACGAGATAATTGGCAAACCTTAGTTGTCTTTCCTAAATTTTTTCTGGAAACATTTCCAGTGAGGGGGTCTACGTGAATTTTGGGCAGGCTGTTCTTTTCATTGCAGGATGTTTATCCTTGGCCTCTGCCCTCCAAATGTTGTACTGTCTCCATTCCCAGCCTAGTCGTATAACAACCAAAGACATACACATATTTTCCAACACTGTTAAAAGGGGAGGCAGCATTGCCTGCTGTCTGAGGAATATGGCCTTAGCAGTTGCATCCAGGATGGGCAGGACTGACACACATGGATCTTAACCACCAGGCTCTTACCATTCCAGCCTATTGTCTTCACCAGCAGTAGGAAAAATAGATAAATGTCAGGAGTAATCTTCCCATTGTATAAGAGAAAGAATGCCATCGGGTGTCTGGTTCAGCTGGCCCTGAGCCATCAGCCCTCGACATAGGAGCTGCTGAGAATTTCTAGTTAGTGTGCATACATATGACAGAGGGATAAGGTGGAGGAAGGGGCACTTCCCAGCTGCCACCTGAAATAAACAGCAATTCCTGGCTTTTGTAGTGTGTAACTCATCAACTTGTGTGGCCGCTTCTATCACCCTGCACTTCATCTTAACCTAGATTCCATTCGCCAGTTTCATTGCTCAGGCTGCGTCTCCTTCAGCATCTGCTACTGCTGCATTGATAGTTCTCCCATGTTTATTTTTTGATGTATGTGATAATTGTTCTTTTCAAGGTACTGCAAGAAGTATAGAACCTTACCCTTCTGATTTGACAGTAGAGGTTTCTTAGTAGAAACTCCAAGTAGGAGAACCACATGAAGGACCAAGGGATCGGGACTGGGACAGACCAATCCAGGGAATTGGGGCAAGCTGGGGAGTTCTATGGAGTGGTCTTTGTGCTTGCTTCCAGCCTACTTGCCAGCAAAAGTATATCAGTGTCTCTTCTACCACCTAAATGCTAGGCATTCACATATTTGTTCAAGCAAATAATGTTAGTCACAAAAGACACTCCCCCCCGCCCCCCGCTTACCAGATAGGCCCAGATTCTGTTCCCACTGATCTATTTGGAGTAGGTTTGGTCTTTATGTGGTATAGTGCAATGATGAGCAGACTTTCCAAGTATAAAGCTCAATTTGAGAAGGGGCCTAGAGGACATTGGTGCTTTTAGATAGGCTTTTGTTTGTGCCTCATAAATCCCATTCCCTGGTGTTTGGTGAACTATCTTCCATCAGTGGCCAAAAGCAATGTGATTGCTCAGACCTATAGAAGCAACTGAATAGTTTTTCCCTAGAAAATGTTATCATCCCAGGAGAGAGTACCTTGGCATTGCCAGCTTGCTGGTTGCTCTGGTGTCTAGAGGGAAGGGCTTGGCATTCACAGTTCACCAGCCTAGAACTTACTCTGGACAGTATCCACCATCCCTGGAATGCCTGTCTGCTCCATTCTAAACCTCTTTCAACAAACTAAATTTGAACCACTATCTTAAAAGTTATGCATAAAAAATAAGTACACAGCTTAAGGAATTTTTTTTCCCTATACCGCAGACTTCATCCAGGAACACTTCACCACTGAACTACATCCCCATTCCTTTTAGATTTTTATTTTGAGGCAGAGCCTCACTAAGTTGCATAGAGCCTGGCTAAGTTGCTGAGGCTGGCCTTGAACTTGTGTTTCTCCTATCTTACCCTCCCAAGTCACTGGGATTACAGGCATATACCACTGCATCCAGCTCAATTTAAAGAATTATTAAGGAATAAAACTCATGTAATTGCCACATTATCAGCAGTTTCAAAGGGGCTGCTCAAACTGTTTCAGCACATTGCTTCTTGACATCCTATCACTAGACTGCAGTCACTAGTTTGGTCTGTAAAGAAGAAAACTTCATTTTAGGGCATATGGCTATTATGTGTTCTATCCTCTCTCATTTTCAATTCAGCTTTTTTAAGAAATTTACCTGAGTTTAGCACTCCCATACCTTAGACATGTAATTAATTTTGTGTATTCTTTTCCCTATTAAAAAAAAGTGGGGAGGATTTACCCTATTTATTTATTTTTTATTTAAGGAATTTACCCCAGCTGTGCCACAGCCAGTTCCTCTACTCCTTCCCCTACCTTGGGCCTGGAGGGGCTGAGGGGGGCCGGGCAGGTTGGACTCAGGCTTATATGCAAATCGAAGCATAACTTTGTTTCTTGAAATTAACCCCTTGGGGAATGACTGAAGGGTGGTTGTGCTTGGAACCCTAGAAGGAGCCCTGAGGACCCCTGGCAGATGGGTGCTATCAGTCTCAGGGGACTGTCTCAGAATCCTTGAGACAGTACTTGTTGCTTTCCTCACTGCTCTCTCTTACAGTCCACTGTTCGTGCAGGTGCAGATTCCTAGTATGCAGAGTTGGGATGCGTGGTGTGTGTGTTTAGGGGCTGGTTCCTTAGGAGAAATGAAGTGATTGAGTGCCTTGCTTCATTTTGTAGCACCAAAGGGCTATTCTTGACTCCAAAAAAGGAACTTTACAAATCTCCTCAGTTCTTCTCCCTTGTTCTTTAACAAAGTATTTCTCTCTAAGTTATCACAAGAAAAGCTGCAGCTTCTACCAGTGGGAAGGGTAGGATCCTCTCCCTCAAAGGTAGAGGGAAGAAACAATCCCTCAGATTGTATCATTGTGAGAATTAAATGACCCCTGACTTCAGAGGTAGTTAGGAAAGTATCTAAACTTAAGCACTGATAGCTGGAAGCTAGTGTTACTGCTGGAGTTTGATTTAGGTGCCTGTTGGGCCTAGGCAGTGACATTTTACCTCTGACCATCTTGGACTTGAGACTGTTAAAGCAAACAGTCTATGGGAAAGAGGGAACCTGGCCAGGCCTTCAGCTGCTCTTTTCCTTCTACTTGACCCTACTCACATTGAAAAATGGCCTGGGCCCTCCTCAGTACCCACACTGCTTTTGGAGCACTCCCCACGTCCATCCAAGTGGATTTCTCTCTTCTCCAGTAACCCGTCTTTCTCCTGCATAGACATCCTTTTTCTGTCTTGTCTTTTCTTCCTTTCCTGGAATACCTCTGCCTTACAGCCCCATTGGATGAGAATGACCTGGAGGAAGATGTGGACTCGGAGCCAGCAGAGATAGAAGGGGAGGCAGCAGAGGATGGGGACCCTGGGGACACTGGTGCTGAGCTGGATGATGGTATGGGGCCCCAGCCTCCCTCTCCACTATGGACACAACCTGTTTCCCATAGGGGGAATGGCCTGAGTGGTTAGAACTTAAGAATGTTCAAGAAAAATCTACTTTAAAGCAAAAGCTCAAGGGAGTCAACTGTTTGGCTCCCTGGGTGATTCTCTGTTCCATCAGTGACTTACACTTGTTTTGTTTCACCCACCCAGAAGCCAATCTCCTGTGTAGCCTGTGTGAATTGAGTTGTGGTTGAGAGCTGAGCAAATTTCAGACTATTCAGGGCCTTTAATCCATTAGATGCCCTTTGGCATTGAAAGACAGGGACATTGTAAATAATTTTAAGAATTGTGTCTCATTGGGCAAAAAGGAACAGGGACTAGGCTGGACAGAAATGAGAATAAAAGTTGAGGTTAAGATCATGAGGGATTATAGATGTAGTCTATGGTCTGGGCTGAGGACTGGTGAAATAACAAGAAAGATAAGTCCAGAAAGCAAGGCCCGCTTTTCCGCAGGTGTAACCCAAGCTTTTCTTCCTGTCATGCCTTCATATGTCATGGTGCTATTTTGAAAAGTAAGTGGAGCACCACAGGTTTCAATGAGACCCCACACTACAGAGGGCAATGTACCTTGCTTCAGGAGAGTGCTTTGGCTGAGTCTCTTGGAAGCATTCTCAGAAGGCAAGGTCTGTTGCTGAATAATAGACAGGGCTCACCATCACAATCCAGACCTTGCACCACTGTGCACATGTGTCCATCCAACCATTGGGCCATGAGAGTAAGAGATAGAAAAGGAGTGTGGCCTGGCTCACGATTTGTGCCAATTCGTGTCCCTTCCTCCCTCCACTAGATCAGCATTGGTCTGATGACATCCCATCAGATGCTGAAATGGAGCTTCGCTTGCGACGCCACCCTGAAGTAGAAGCAGAGTTAGAGCTGAGGGTAATAGAAAATGAGGAGGAAAAGCCATCTGCCTTACCAGTGCAACAAGAAGGAGGTAGGTCTACTGCTACCAGCAGGAGTCAGCAGCTTCCAGAATGCCTATAGAAGCCACAGGGCAGGCTGGGTGGCACAGAGTCAGGGCTTTTAGTTGGCCCAGGGCTCCACTCCTCCTCCTGCTCTTCCTGTCTGCCCTGCAAATGACTGCAACCAGCAGTTCCTTTCCTTATGTTGTTTGGGATCATGAAAAGGTAGAAGGTCCATCTCAAAGCTTGGGACCCAGATTGTACACACAAAGGATTACTAGTTCTTGGGGAAGTGAATTCCAGGAGTCCTCTCACTCCTGAGATGTGTTTTTTCTAGACCAGCCTGAGTACAGACCCAGGGACACAGCATGCATTGGTTCAGCTAAACCTCTGCTCTCCCTGCCTCAGCAGTCAACTGGATGTAGTATGATGCCCTCCACAGAACTTCCTGGGGGCCCTCTTAGTGTGAGTGGGGCTGGTGGGATGGTTTCCTCTTTTAAATCCTGTGTCCCTTCTTTTCAGGTCCTTCTCAAGTCTCCAGCCCCATCCAGTCCCCTCAGGAACAAGCCATTCTTTCTACCCCAGCATCCAGCCACATAGCAGAAGTAAGTATTGGGGGCTCACTGTGAGGGACAAGGGACTGATGGAACTCCTGTCTTTGGGCCCATGGTGTGAGCCCCTCAAGAAGTGGAGGTGAAGTAAACTACTACCCCCCATTCTGAGGAAAATTACATATTTTTCAGTCCTTGTGTTAAGTGGGGCTGTTGATTATATAATAGGAGTGGCCTTGGGATTCTAACTCAGTCTTCTTGATGTATGGACAGATTTATTTTTAAATTAAAGTCATATTTATAGGATCATGTGTTTATTATAATAGATATATTTTTTCTTTATGTTAAAATAAATGTATAACTATTTAAATACTGTCTGGAGGACAGATCAGGGTGGTAGGCCAAGACACTAGACCTAGGTTTTTGGATTATGGCAGCATGGCATCATTCAATGATTTTCTTTTTTTTTTTTTTCTTCACTGTACTGAGGGTGGAACCCAAGGCCTGACACATGCTAGACAAGCACTTCTCTACTGAACAACATCCCCAGACTTTTGTATTATTATTATTTTATTTGGAAATAGAGTCTCACTAATTTACCGAGGCTATCCTTGAACTTTGAATTTTCCTGCCTCAGCACTACTCTGCCTCCCACCCAATTAGAAGTATGTTCCACTAGCGATTTAGTGATTTTTTTTCTGCGAAACAAGAGCTTTATTTTACTGAGATGCTAAGATAGGGCTATAATAGACTCTGTGTGCATCTTTAAGCTTCCTGGGAAAGGCAATGTGATTATAAAACATCTACACATAGTAGCTATTTTAAATCTTACAGTGCTGGCCCCTGTGATGGCATGTCAGGGATCTTGGAGCTTTAGAAACTGCTAGTTGGGGTGAGAGCCAAATTCATTAGTGTTTTTCTGCCATTGTTCATTTCAGTGGACAGAGAAAGTAGGATGTGTTTGAGAGGAACCAAATCCTGAAAGCTCAGACTATTCAAACTAAGAGGGGTTCTAAAAATTTGACAAATAGAGCAGAAAATGAGGAAGTTTTTCCTGGAGCCATTTGAATCATACATAAAACGATAGAGAAATTTATTTCAGCATACACAGGCCCTTTGAGAGGAAAATTCCATAAAGAATGTTGTTGACCATGAAAACATTCACTTCTAAGCAGCTTCTGTCTTCCCTTTCTGTAGGGACCCCAAACCCCACTTGCCTCTGTTGCCACCAAGATGAAATCCCCTGAGGAGCGCTTTTTCCCTGACCCTCTGCTCCCCAAAGAGAAGCCCAAAGCTGAAGCTCCCCCGGATCAGAAGACTGCAACCCCTCCCATCCGGTCACAGCCTGTATCTCTGCCAGAACCAAGGACACCTACCTCACCTGTGAGCTCACAGTTTGTGGCTCAGGTGGCCCCTTCTGCATCCCCTTCCACCCAGCTCCCTATTTGCTCCCAGCCTCAGCCTTCCTCAGAGGCCACCATCCCATCCCCCACTGAGTCCCCCATACGCTTCCAGCCTGTTCCAGCCAAAGCTTCTACCCCTCTGGTCCCCTTACCTGTGAAGAGCCAAGCTGATCCCAAGAACAGACTGGACAGCCCTCTTGCTGTGGATGAAGCCCTGAAACGGAGTGACCTGGTGGAGGAGTTTTGGATGAAAAGCGCTGAAATCCGCCGCAGTCTGGGACTCACACCTGTAGAGCGAAAGAAAGGGCCTGAGCCCAGCTTCCCCTCACCTGCCTTCAAGCCAATATCCCTAAAATCCTTTTCAGTTGAGAAGTCCCCTCAGGATGAAGGACTTCATCTTCTGAAACCTCCATCTATTCCTAAAAGGCTGGGCTTGCCAAAGTCAGATGGTGAGCAGCCCTCCCTGCTGACTCCCAAATCTCCATCTGACAGAGAGCTGAGAAGCTCCCATGAAGAGCGGAGGGATCTATCCAGCAGCTCTGGCCTGGGCCTTCATGGGAGCTCCTCAAACATGAAGACCTTGGGCAGCCAGAGCTTCAACACCTCAGACTCCACCATGCTCACCCCACCTTCAAGCCCACCGCCACCCCCACCCCCAGATGAGGAGCCCGCCACCCTCCAAAGAAAGCCCTATCAGATATTTGAGCATAAAGAAACTGAGCCAAAATCCTCCATTATCCCACCTCCTCCACCTGCCACATTTATGCGGCCCCCACGAGAGCCTGCCCAACCCCCCAGGGAGGAAGTGCGGAAGTCATTTGTAGAGAGTGTGGATGAAATCCCCTTTGCTGATGATGTGGAGGACACCTATGATGACAAAACTGAGAACTCAAGTCTGCAGGAAAAGTTCTTCACACCCCCTTCCTGCTGGACCCGCCCAGAGAAGGCCCTCCACCCACCCCTGGCCAAAGAGAATGGACGGCTGCCTTCTCTGGAGGGTAGTGCCCAGCTGCAGAAGAGGGGACTGCCCTTGGTCTCTCCTGAAGCTAAGGAGCTGGCTGAGGAACGCATGCGAGCCCGGGAGAAGTCTGTGAAGAGCCAGGCACTGAGAGACGCCATGGCCAAGCAGCTGAGTAGGATGCAGGAGATGGAGATGGCAGCTGGGGCCTCCAGGTCCCGCAAGGCTTCCTCAGCACCCTCCCAGAGCAAACAACTTTTGATGGAATCCTCCAAACCCCCAGGTCTCAGAGGCTCTGAGGAGCCTACTCTGAAGCATGAAGCCACTAGTGAGGAGGTCCTCTCCCCTCCATCAGACTCAGGGGGCCCAGATGGTTCTGTCACCTCTTCTGAGGGCTCCAGTGGGAAGAGCAAGAAGAGGTCATCCCTCTTCTCCCCCCACAGAAACAAGAAAGAGAAGAAGTCCAAAGGGGAGGGCCGACCCACAGAGAAACCCAGCTCACGCCTTCCAGAGGAAGCAGCCACCAAACCCAAGTCCTTGTGGAAGTCAGTCTTTTCTGGGTACAAGAAGGACAAGAAGAAAAAGGGCGACGAGAAGTCCTCCTCCAGCACCCCATCCAGCGGAGCTACTGTGGACTCTGGCAAGCACAGGATGTCTCCTATTGTAAGAGCAGGTACATCAGCAGCAAAGAGACCTTCATAGGACAGAGTGTAAGGGGTACATTCTTGGGTCATTTTGTTGTTCTCAAAAGATCCACTTTCTTTTTTTTTTTTTTTTTTTGAAAGCAAGTTTTATTTAAAAAAAAAAAGATCCACTTTCACATGCTGATGGCCCAAAGGTTCTTAAGAGACGGGAACTGAACCATGAGTGCCCTGAGCATTTTCCTGCCTCATAAAATAACTCTAAAATCAGCTTGAAATTAGATAGGGTAGTCTTTGGAAGTTGGTACCCTTCCTAAAGTCACATTACCCCCAAAATGGGCCTGCTTTTGAGTGGGGCAGAGGGCATTGCCTGGTGGTCCCAGACAGGTGTCCAGAGTTATTGTCTCTTCCAAGTGGCTCTGTCCCTGAAGGAATAAGCATCAGAGCCCAAGCTCATTGCACCCCAATGTAAGAGGAAAATCACTTAAACTTGAAACCAAACCTCCAGCTGATCTGCCCCAGCTGCTCGAATGAGCATGGAAGTCAGTGTTGTCACTGCCCTCACTCTGCCTCTTTTTACCTCACAGAGCTGCAGCTCCGGCGCCAGCTGAGTTTCTCGGAGGACTCAGACCTCTCCAGTGATGACATCCTTGAGAGGTCCTCCCAGAAGTCCAGGAGAGAGGTGGGTGGGTCCATTCGCTGGAAGGACTTTGGCAGGCTGGCGAGTCTTGGCCTCTGGTAAGGTAGAAAACAGGGAAAGCCAATCTAAAACCAGGGTGGAGAGTGAGTGCATTTCTATGATTCCAGCAGGCAGACAGTGGAATGCTGATCCCGGACCAGGGTCAGAAGAAGAGCCACAAAAGTCTTTCCTCAGGCCTTTTAAAGGGGAGAGAGGTATTTGCTTTCCTGGCAAGCGTTCCCTCATTCAGTTCCTGTGAAGGAAGCTGGAGATATTCCACATGGAAACCTTTATGTTGCCTTTAGGAAACAGCCAGGCACTGTCTATTCTTTCTCTCCTCAGCAATCCATGCAGAGCAGTATCTGTCAGGATCCAGGCAAGGGGACAAGGGTTGCTCACACTCCAGGGTCATAGAGGCTGGGATAGAGCACCAGGCAATGGAACAGGAGGTGGGACCAGGTTGCTTACACAGGAGTGGGCCTCATCATCCTGCCTGCTTGGTAGATTTGTTAATTAGAGGAGGGTTTTGTTTGTTTGTTTGTTTGTCTGTTTTCCTGTTTAAGAACTGATCTAAGAAACTGACTTGGGTATGTGTCAGGTCTGACATGGGCTCTCTTGCTGCTCCAGAACTTAGGAAGTATGGCCACTCAGGTCTCCTAAGAAGCAAAGTTCTCTATATACAAAGTCCCTTCATCACTGGCTTCCTTTGGTGTTCATTTAGTTTTTTGTTGTTGTTGTTGTTGTTGTTGTTTGTTTTGTTTTCCAGGAGTCTTATAGCTTTGTCTCAATACAGTGAAGTTGGAGGAGGGAGAACCAGAGAAAGTTCTAGTGGGGCATCTATGTGACAACAACAGTGTTTATATGGGAACTAAGATCCATAAAGGCCTCAGCAGCAAGACAAGGGCAGTGATGCTCTGTGTGAGCCCAGCTACATCTTGCCCTCTGTCTAAGACAGAGCTAGACATCACCTTTCCAGGGGTAATAGCCCTGCTGCCCCTTACCTCCCTTTTTGAATAAAAATATACCCAGAATATCATGTGCTTTTTTATGTATATATTTTTAGTTGTCGATGGACACAATATTTTATTTATTTATTTTTATGTGGTGCTGAGGATCGAACCCAGTGCCTCATGCATGCAAGGCAAGCACTCTACCACTGACCTACAATCCCAACCCTCATGTGCTTTTCTGACAAGGCCTTTTGGAACTTTGGCTTGAGTCCCTTTTCATCAAAAACTTTAAACTGGTAGCCAGTACACCAACCAGAGAAGACCATGGTGGTTCTGTGCCTCTCTGTGTACCAGTTCACAAAGATACCTTCTGAAGCCTGCTTCCAAGTTCCTCCTCCCAGCCTGATTCAGTTCTTAATTACTTGGAAAACTGAGCCAGACACAGTGGCACAACCTATAATCTCAACAACTTGGGAGTCTGAGGCAGGAGGATTGCAAGTTTCAGGCCAGCTCAGCAACTTAGGCCCTTAGCAACTTGGTAAGACCCTGTCTCAAAATAAAAAATTAAGAAGGTTAGGGATGTAGCTCAGTGGTAAAATACCTTAGGCTCAATCCCAAGTACCAAGAAATAATAAATAATATTAATAATAACTTGTCAAGCCCAAAGTTGTTGCACATGCCTATAATTCCAGGAGCTTGGGAAGCTAAGACAGGAGGATTACGAGTTCAAAGCCAGCCTCAGCAAAAGAGAAGTGCTAAGCAATTTAATGAGACCCTGTCTCTGTAGGGCTGGGGATGTGACTCAGTGGCTAAGTTCAATCTCCAGTACCAAAATAATAATAATAATAACTTGGAAAACTGTAGAAAGATGGTCAACTTACTTCCCATCTCATTCTTGATGTGTTTGTCTCTAAGGCTGCATCAGCTCTTTCTGTATTATCCTAGAAGAACCTAAAATGACTGTTGTCTCCTCCTGCTTCACCTATCTACAGAGTTAGGTCTCATATGTCACTACCAGGCCAGCAGTGAGTGAAGGCCTAGCAGTCTTGTATGTTTTCCCTTGGGGGTTTAATTTATGTGCATCCTGTTGAGTACCCCCTGCTGAATCTCCCGGGTAGGACTGTTGGTTCTGAACTGAGGGTTGCTTCTGGATTTGCATGTAGGTCTCTAAATACATTAGGGATGTCTTGGAATTCTTTTTTTTTTTTTTTTTCCAGTTGTAGATGGACACAATACCTTTATTTTATGTATTTATTTTTATGTGGTGCTGAGGAGCAAACTCAGTGCCTCACACATGCTAGGCAAGCACTCTACCACTGAGCCAAAACCCAGCTCTGTCTTGGGATTTTTAAGGAGGTCTGTGAAGAAAGGAGAATGTTTCTCTTAACCTCCGTGGTGACCGTGCAGATGTTCAGATAGTTCATGTCATGTTGGTCAAAAACAGCTATGGGGCTCGGGTTATGGCTCAGCAGTAGAGCGATCACCTCATACAAGCAAGGTCTTGGGTTTGATCCTTAGCACCATATAAAAAATAAATAAATAAAATAAAGTTTAAAAAAAAACCATACAGCTGTGATTGCTGTTATGGTCAAGTTTCTCCACTGCTTTTCCACAAATTAATGAAGCATGTTGACAGTATGCTGATCAGCAGTCTTCCCACATTTGGCTATGCCAAGGACATTATCTTGATTCCACCTCCCATGGACGACAGACTTTCCTAGGGCCTCACAGGCACCAGAAACAAAGAAATTCATTTCCCTATTCTTGTGAGCGAGTCAAGGACCCCATTATAGATTCCTAGAACCACAGGACTATGGAGACCTCACATACCAGGCATACTCTATAGGGACAGGGCCATTCACTAGAGATCACATAGGGAATGTGGAAGATAAGGTGGGGCCTACGAGGCTGCTAACCCAGCTCCTGCCATGACGTGGAGGTGGACCAAGTGAAAGCAGATCACCATGTTTTCAAGACATGGAGGCTAAGGCAGAACAGAAACAGCTATAAAGAATGCTTTTAAAACAGTTAGAGAGGGCTGGAGTTGTGGCTCAAGCGGTAGAGTGCTCGCCTAGCACATGTGAGGCACTGGGTTCGATCCTCAGCACCACATAAAAATGAAATAAAGATATTGTATCCATCTAAAGCTAAAAAATAAATATTTTTAAAAAACAGTTAAAGAAATTTGATCATAAATGGTGTAGTATGTATAAATGTATCATCCAATCAACATCAAGTTTCTTGCAAGTGACAGAGGTACTGTAATCATGTAGGAAAATGTTTCTGTTCTTAGGGAGGAAGTACATGCTAATATTTTTCAAGGTGAAAGTTTATGTATCTACAAATAATTCAGAAAAAGAAAAGATTATAGCTGTATATTGTGGCATACACCTATAATCCCAGCAGCTCAGGAGGCTGAGGCAGGAAGATCACAAGTTCAAAGCCAACCTTAGCAAAAGCAAGGTGCTAAGCAACTCAGTGAGACCCTGCCTCTAAATAAAATACAAAATAGGACTGAGGATATGGCTCAGTGGTCGAGTGCCCCTGAGTTCAATCCCTGGTACCAAAAAAAAACAGAAAAGAGCTGAGGATGCAGCTCAATGGCTCAATGGTAAAGCACCCCTGATTCAACCCCAAGTACCAACAACAACAAAAAAGGTGTGTATGCATGTAATATAAAGGTTACATACATGCACACATGCCTATGAAACATGCTGTAAAATGTTAACATTGGGGAAATCTAAGTGATAGTATTCAGCTATTCATTTTCTTGCTATTTCAACGTCTCTGTAGGATTGAAATTTTTCAGAATAGGAAGTATAAGGAGGGGCTGAGGATGGGGCTCAAGCGGTAGTGCGCTCACCTGGCATGCACAGGCCGCTGGGTTTGATCCTCAGCACCAAGTAAAAATAAAATAAAGATGTGTGTCCACCGAAAACTATAAATAAATAAGAAGTATAAGGAGCAAGGGAGCTAAAAGTAAAAATGGGATTTGGCTTGAATGAAGAGGCCAGGCTCCCAGCCACAGAGCCACTGTGTAGCAGAGATGGAAGAGATAGCTCCCCTTGTATCTCAGACACAGCCCTGAGTCAAGCACTGGTGAAGCAAGTGACAGGGTCTTTTGATAATAATAAAGAAAAAAAAACTAAAAATAACTTGTATTTTGGGGCTGGTTTGTGGCTCAGTGGTAGGGAGCTTGCCTAGTATGTGTGAGGCACTAGGTTCTATCCTCAGCACCGCATAAAAAAATAAAGGTATTGTATTCCTCTACAACTAAAAAAGAAATCTTTCAATAATAATAATAATAACTTTTTTGTTTGAAAAATGCAAGTACAGGATTTTTTAAAACACCTACAGCCCTGCCAACAAGAAATAACTCATGTTGACCTCTTTTCTTTACTTCCATCTGACTTTAAATACAACTAACTTGGCTGTTTCTTGGCCACCCTGGCCCATCCGAGGGTGCTGGGCCTGCTCTCTGACGGTCTCTCTTTCTGTTTCAGAGCCACAATGTCAGCTCTTGTGGCTGGCCTCATCTCTTGGGCACATGAAAATTGTGTCATGATTTCATTCTGAATTGGTTCCAGTCCAAAAAATGGGTAAATTATGGAGAAGGAGGGTGCTGCCCTGTCCCCGTAGTATTTACAGCAGCCAGGTACAGATGTCCATGCTGTTCTTTAAGGTGTAGTTACCTAACCTATAATCCTACTATGAGTTCTTCCCATGCTATTCAAGGACATCATTTGTCCTTTCCCTTTTTAAAACTAGCCTGTTTCTAATCATGAAAATCTTCCTTTCAGTCTGCTTTGTGAAAGAAGTGAGTTTGAGGCAAGGTGCCTATTCTGAGAGGCAGATTCATTCTTTTCCAGGATAATATGCATGTGAAATGTGAGTCCCCACTATGTCATGGTTATGACAGTCAGAAGCAGCACAGGCAGCAGGGTACTGCAGGCCTTCTTGTTGCTCTCAGAATCTCCTTATCCTATAGGCTACCAGACTCAAGCTACCTCCCTCCCTGGCTCCCTGATGGCCTTCTAACTACTTAATACAACTGATAAGAAGACCAGAGGAGCAAATGTAACTGACCCCAGTACTTGAGCAGCTCCACTCAATGTTTAATGGAGTAAAAAGAAGTCAGTTAACATTGCTATCTGAAATACTTTTGGCAAATAGCAGTGATTTATGCTATTTCAGTTCCCTTCACCAGGTATAATCAAGAAGTAGCCTGTATCCCTGTGTCCCGTGGTTTAGGAACATGCCAGGAGAGAGCTTTTTGGGAGAGGGTATGAGGTTCAGTACCTCGTTTCGCTCTTATCTGTGTCTGACATCAGGAATCTCCTCTATCCACCCCCATACATGAGCAGCAGGAAGTGTTCTAAATTTCCACAAGTAAAGGAATGGGTTACTAAAGGAGAAAGGGATACTGAGAAAAGAGAAGATTTGGGGGAATGATAAAGAGGCTGTTTCTACTCAGGAGAAAAGTAAACCCCAGTCTTACTCAAAACCAGTGTTCACTAAGATGCAGCTGTACATGCAGTTTGTACATGCAGATTTCTCCTTGCACAGTCCTGTGTGACATTGTGGAAAATAATCATGTTTAAGTCCTGTATGTTTGTTTTAAACTTCTAATTTTACTCCATTTCTGTGTTTCATTTTAATTTTTTAAATCATCATTGTCATTACTGTTCTGTTTTGTTTTCCGTTGCCATCCCCTTAAAAGTCGATTTATGTACCACACGCCTTGGCATTCAGGAGATCCTATTCATCAAAGGTAGTATCTCATTCCTGATGGCTGGTCATCATTGCATGCCTGTCTGTGATTAACCACCCAGAGCAACCTGAGCCCAGGACCTGTGGCCACATCCTCACTAACTGTGTTCATACATGCATGTAGCTGTAGCCACCAGACCTCCTTTAGCTATGTCATGAGGAAGAAGGAGGATGAGACACACCCGCTCTTCACTGGCTGGAGTGCATGTGGTAATGCTCCAGGTGCCTGGGAGGGAGGCAGAGCTGCCCCTGTGGGTCTGGGCACCACAATAAGAGGGGTTGTTCGTCTCAGCTCTGTGGACTGAGACCTGAGCTTCCCAGGGCACTAGAATGCCACAGCTGTCCTTAAGGACTGCCTGTTGCCTCTTCACTTGACACTCCACTGTCTTTAAAACTCTTAGAGGAAAGACAAAGAGCCTGGACTTTGAGTTGAATTTGGAAGCCTTCTTTAAAATCTGTAAAATCTCCTAGTTTGGTTTCTTTTTTGTTTTGTTTTGGTTTTTGGTTTTTTTGTTTGTTTTATTTTGTTTTTTTAAGAAACAATACAGATGGCCTTGTGAATGACGGCAAATCCCCAACATGTACCTCTCAGGGGTTGCCCAGTGTCTATGCAAAGCATGGGATTCTCCCCATAGCCTTCAACCTGCATTAAATTTGCCCAGTCACCTCCTCCATTCTTGATGGCACTAGCCACAACCACCTGGCCAGGCCACTTCCTCCCTTTCTTTTTGTGGCAACTGTTGCCTATGCAATCCCCAGAGGCCATCAAGGGTCACCTCCACAGTTCCTTCTTCAGCCTATATTGGTTTGGGGTTTCCCCAAATTTAAAATAGAAGCATTCCTGTTTTTTCTAGTTCAGATGTTCTTAAAGGAACCTCATGAATACCACTCATCTGAAGAAAGTGGCTTTTGATTCCAAGCAAGAAAATAAAAGGATTCTGATTTATCCTTTTTTTTTTTTCCTTCCCCATATATTCAGAAGCATGAGGCTTGGGAAACATTTTACTTACATTTTACTTACATTTTTTACCCCCACAATGTCTTTAAAAAGCACAGAATTCCTTAAATAGGAAACAAAGTGATCTCAGTGATAAAGGAGGCTCCTAATACTCTAACTTCCCAATACTCATTCCCCACATAGCCTCCTTTCCTGGTCACAGAGGGGAAATGTCTCACCTTGGGGGTATCTAGATGTGTCCTGCGGCATTTGGAGCTCCAACAGGGAAAGGTGCCAGGGAAGTCTCTGGTCAAGCTGCAGTGGGGGAGCTTCACACTGGTGTATGCCAGCCACCAGTTCCCACTTAGGAGTCAGTCTACTCCATGCCCTTGCCAGGCTGCTGCACAAACTGATCTCAGACCTGACTGATAAGATCTTTTTTATTCCCACTAGCCAAGAACCTACACAGAAGAAGAGTTGAATGCCAAGCTGACCCGGCGTGTGCAGAAGGCAGCTCGGAGACAGGCCAAGCAAGAGGAGCTCAAGCGGCTCCACCGAGCCCAGGTACAACCACAGACAGTGAGACAGACAAAACACACAGGTGGAAAGCCATGTGACCACATCTTTGTGTACACCCAGTTGACCCCTATCCACAAGGAAGGAGGGTGAAGAAGGCAGAGTAGAAGCAGATGAGTTGTCCCTGTCATCTGAGATGACAGCCCCAAAGTACAGCTCAGTGCAGATGTAGTGGCCCCATCTTTGCAAAGTCATCAGTAAAAAGGGAAGAACCACATTTGAGTTTCCTAAATTCTGTGGTCTAGAATAGTCATTTTAGAGTCAATTAGTTCTCTTACTTGTAAGCAATAGTGTCAGAAGTCAGTTTGTGGGTGGGTAGAGTGTCATACACCTGTAATTCCAGCAACTCAGGAGGTTGAAGCAAGAGGATCGCAAGTTCGAGGCCAGCCTGGGCAACTTAGAGAGACCCTGTCTCAAAATAAAAAATTAAAAGGGCTAGGGATATAGCTCAGTGGTAAAGCACCCCTGAATCCAATACATAGTACAAAGGGGGGCAAAAATCAGTTTGTGACCTACCATGGACTTTGGACTTCGTGGGAGAAGTTAGAGTTATCCTGTAGGTATCAGCCTCTGTCTTAAGGCCTCATATCCTAGACCATTCTATACTTTTTTTTTTAACCTGTAGAGACAAGATTTTTAATCCAGTTTAGCAGTCTTGTTATCAGAAAGATCTGAGGTAGCCAGGCAAGTAGCATCACCTGTAGTCCCAAGAACTTGGGAGACTGAGGCAGGAGGATCATGAGTTCAAGGCCAACCTCACCAACTTAAAAAAATTAAAAGGACTGGAGTATAAGTCAATGGTAAAACATCCCTGGGTTCAATCACCAGTGTCAAAAAAGAAAGAAATTCTGAGGTGCCGGATGCGGTGGCCCATATTTGTAATCCTAGCAGCTCAGGAGGCTGAGATAGGAGGATCATGTGTTCAAATCCAGCCTCAGCAAAAGCAAGGCGCTAAGCAACTCAGTGAGAACCTGTCTCTAAATAAAATACAAAATAGAGCTGCAATGTGGCTCAGTGGTCAAGTGCTCTTGAGTTCAGTCCCTAGTATCCTGCCCAAGAAAGAAAGAAATTGTGAGGTAATAGTATTAAAGGCTTCCTGCAGGAATTTCTTTTCCTCCTGCCCTTTAACTGCCCTAGAGAGGGCTGACATCTGCTTCAGCTGCTTCCATATTCCATGAACTTAGAACAGTGGGCCCAGAGTCTGCTAAGTAACAAGGCCCTGGGGGATTCAGATCCAAGTGGGATGCAGCCCATGAACTAGAGCTCTTTCCACCGTCTCGACGTAACTTCTCTTTCTCCCTCCTTGAGTTTGCCAAGTTTAGTTTTCCTCCTGAAAACTAGAAAGCTGAGTGCTCATACTGCTGTCTTTTGACAGATCATCCAACGGCAGCTGGAGCAGGTGGAAGAAAAGCAGAGGCAGCTGGAAGAGAGAGGGGTTGCAGTGGAGAAAGCACTCCGAGGTGAAGCAGGTACAGTCTGGGTCCTTGTGAGGAAGTTTATTCTGAAAGAGACCCCATATTCCCCACTGGGGAAGCCAGTTTTGCATCACGTGAAATTCATTCCTCCTTCAGTGGGGTTTTCTGGGTCCCTGCATCACATCTGGGGCTTTCCATTAAGCAAAAGAAAAATGCATTGGGGCAGCCCTGAGGCCCAGTCCTGCTCTATAGCCCATCTTACAGCTTGCCATTTCCCAACAGAACAAAATCTTAGGCCCCCATCATCTGTTGATTGCAAACTCTGGGTTTGTTCCTCTTCCTTCTCCTCCTCCTTTCGCACTCCATCATTTTCCCTAGGGGGAAAAAATGCCTGTGAATGAGGGAGATTGTATCACAAGGAACCATCACAGAACTGTACTGAGCAGAACCCCAGCTGTTCCCCTACATGCTCCTCCTGTCCTTAGTGTTCTGGGCCCCTCCTGCCCAAGCTTTAGATCCCTTATCATCTCCTGTGGGTGGAGCTTACAGGTACTCTTGATACTCTTGTGTTTCCCAGGCTCAGCCCAGGCTTGATGTTCACTAAAGGAGAGACAGGGGGTGGGGACATGATGTGCTGGCACAGGGTAGACACCAGGAGCAGCTGTGAGAGCCTGTGGTTTATGACTGCCACTCTAAAAGGAAATGCTGAAGAATGTAATGCAGTCCTGTCTACTGCTCCCAGGAGTCTATTCTATGCATTTAGGCACAGAGAAGGCAAGGGAGTACCAAAGTCATCTCTGGACCAAAGCCTAGGAAACTCTGCTAGTTCAAGACCTTGCATCCACTGGGTCAGCCCCAGCCTCAGGCATGGAGTGACTGATCTCTGCTTTCTCAGGCATCTAGAGTCTCATCCAGTCCCTAGATGAGGAACCTCCATCTCTTTACAAAAGAAAACGAAGGCCTCCAGGCTCAGCATGCAGATTGTGAGGCTGAGATAAAGAAAGGCAGTGGCTTCTTACCACCTCCTTATTCTAGAGTGGCAGAGGGGAACAGGGTGGTACATCTCGTGGCAGGTAAACTGTGTGTGGAACTGAAGAAGAACTGGTAAGGGGCAGCCATGTGACCAATGAGCTGGCCTTATGGTATATGCCTGGTATCAAGATGGATTCTATAGGATTGAAGTTCATGTGTTGGGGAGTGGGGATGAAGCATAGAAGCAGGTCCCCCTTGTCAGGCCCTTTAAGGCCCAGAAATTGAAGTTTATCAGTAGGTCAGTGATGACCTTCAGGTGAAAAGGGCTGGTAGAGAAAGGTGAGGATGTGGATGTTCTTGGTTTTTGTGCCTCACCTAATGCTGGACTTAACCCTTGAAGTCTGGGTCACCAAAGGAAATGCAAAAACTTGAACCACTTAGTATCCAGAAAACTAGAAGACTGGGATGCTACCACCTGGCAAGCACTGGCTCCAATGCCAAGAAGTGGAGGTCCAGGTTCACTTAGAAGGGTCCTCAGCCTTCCCAATAAACCATGATGTCCCCCACCAGTCTGCGGGACTCCTTTCCTTGCCCTGCACACTCTTTTGGCTTCCTATTCAAACTGTCCCCAGAGGGAGTTAGCCCTCCAGAGGTGTCCTGTGCCAACTAAAGTAGACCCACAGGGCCCTACCCTCCTTGCTTACCTCTTGCAGAAGATACCAAGAGGGACCCTGAACTCATCATTGCTTTTTATTTCATCGATCACTTCTGCCAAAATAGAAAGTAATAAGTAGATCTCACAATACATAGCGAGAATAACTCCACAGGTGTATGCACATACATTCAGGGTAAGAGTTCCCCAGGAAAAGGGGGACTATACCCCTCCTTACAAGATTCTGAGTTTCAGGGAAGAGGGTTGCCATCTGGGTTGATGGTTTCTGTAAAGAACTCAAATCCTTGTCAGCTGCATGCAATTGGAGTCTACAGCAATACTTCAGCATTTCTGTAACAATCATGTTATTCCAGCTGCTGAATAAGGGCCAGAAAATAACACCATTAAAAATTGACAGAGGAGGACTGGGGTGTGACCCAATGGTAGAGTTTACCTAGATAATGCAGGACCCTGCATTCCATCCCAATACACATACACACACACACACACACACACACACACACTCACACACACACACACACCAAATTGGCAGAGGATTTTACCAAAATTATTCTTTTCAATTGTTTAGATAAATTACATTTTCATGACCATGTACAACTGAATGTCATATAAGTTAGTGCTTTTCAAACTTGCTTTTAGCAGAAGAGCCCTTTTACAACATTATAAATTCAAGTTAAAATAAAAAATAATTGCCCTAAAAAGTTAAAACATATACACAAAAACGTGACAACACAGGATATGGTGAAGAGCTGCACCAGCATCCAGTTCATTTGTGGGAACAAAGATGAGAACAACCTGATATACACCAGTAGTTGCTGTAAATAGCAACAGTGTGTTTTTAATGACTTACCTGGAACTCTCAGGGTATTTTCAATTTAAAGATGTAGTTACTAGAATTTTTAAAACAGAACAGTAGCATTTTTCCAAGTTGAATCACTAGCAAATCTAACAAAACTCATATTCCTAATAAAGAACCAATCAAAGATGCTCCTAGAGTAAGCAAGAAACCCAGATTCACTATGATATCATGACATAATGTGTCATCACCCTTAGTGCCATGCTTATAAGTGCATGCTCTGAGAGGCTGGCATCACTATACTTGCAGGCCAGGATTTAAATGAATTACATAGTTTCTTTTTTACCAACACATTTACAATGAATGCATATACTTGCACACAGGAAGCAGAAGAAACTTGGTCCTGAGGGCCCCACAAAAGCAAGTTCACCTGGCTGCACAAATTAATTCGTTCAATGGGTTAAAAGTTGGCATATGAAGCATTGAGTATGGTGTGGCTTTTCAACAGTTTTTAAAGAGTTAAAAGCATTTGAGGTTCTTGGAAGATCCCTAGAACATTGTGAAGAACCCTAGGGTTCCGCAGAAGTTTGAAAATCATTGTTCTAATCCAACTTCTTCCTGTAGATGAGACTTTGCCAAAATATCTTTAACCAAAATGAAGTCTGTGCTTTCTCTAAAGATACACCTCAGTAACTCTGTTGAGATATTTCCCCATGATGCATTTAGTGTTGTAGTGACGGACGAGGCAAGGCACCGAAGATAGCAGGAAACAGTTTTATTTGGCTGTAGACAGGTTCAGAGGGCAAAGCTTTTGCTGTAATCAATCAATCCCCTAAACCCCGAATTCAGGTAGTTTCAGAGTTTATGCCCAGCATGTAAGGGGAGGGGCTCAGAAGTTCACAGTCTGCAGAAATTCACGTAAAAGCAGCTTTTTCTTTCACTATTTTGGGCAAGTTAACCCTTCAAGGACAACACCTGAGAAGGAGAGAGCTTCTTGTCCCCTTTCTTTCCTCCCCCTGCCAGCTATTACCATGGAGTGCAGTTGATAACTTATCTTGAAACTGTAGACATCTCTGTGGAGCGCAGCTCAAGGCCAGAGGATTTGGTTGCACATTTCTACAAGCTACTATACTGGATATATTTGTGAAAAACTAGTAAGGGGGTGTCCAGCAACTGGAGTGCTGGTATCTTCCCAGCCAGTGGCCAAGTAAAACAGGGCAACACAAAAGTAGGAAGTGTATCTACATTGAACTCTTTTGCAGAGATTCTTTTGCTGAAAGTCCCAAGATCAGCCATGGTGAAGATTTCTGGAGAAGCCCAGTTAAGACTTTTCTGTAGAGAAAGGGGGTGCCACTACATTAGTTAACTCTCAAGATATAGTGCTCCTACCATAACTTATCTCTAAATATATTGTCTTTTTCTTATTTCAATATACCCCCTCCAAGGCTGGCCTAATGTCACTTCTCAGTGGACATATTCCTACTCGGCAGATACCATCTTTGAAGCTAAGTGTGCACATTGGCCACTCTTTTCTGCTTGTGCATTGCATCCTTGTTAGTCTCACTGCACCTAGTTGAACCTTGAAGAAATATCTTCAGCTGAGTCCAAAACCTGGAATTTTCCAACATGCTGGTCAGCCCCATCCCTAAGGGCTATACTACCAAGCCAGCCAAATCTGCCATTCTGTCTCACTTGATGGTCTCAAGCTTCCATTGTGTCTGAGGGGTCAGACTTTGTTAGCCAACCTGCCCTTCCAGAGAAGAGATCTGATACGGACTTGCTACCCAGTTAATCTCTATTTGTCAAAGGCTTCTATATATTCAGAGCTCAAGAATTAGTTTCAGAGCTTTCAACCTAGAACCAAGACCAAGACTTTTATGTGATTTCTGGTCCTGGGACATCCAGGTCACTTTTTTGTTTCTGGAACACTGATTCAAACTTAAAACCACTGGATCAACCTTGAGCCTGAGCTGGGAAAACTTTGCAGGATTGCATTCAGTTTTCAGATGTATGTCCATTCTTGAAGAGGAAACCCCATGTGGATAAAAAGGCTGCCAAGATCAGCTTTTAGAATGTGAGGTTTAGAGAAAGGGTGACACAATAGCAACTGAGTTTTGTTGTGCTCTGTACCTCCTTACAGTTCTGGAGAGATGAGGATCACCTGCTCAAACCCAGTGCTCAGCTCCAGACTTTACATCTCAGGCCTTGCTGGGCTACCACAGGAGCTAAAAGTGCTGGCTAAGAGTGCTGGTGGCCAGCAGACCTCCAAGAGCCTCAGGGCAAATAGTTGCAGATTCAGAAATCTGCATAAGACTCAGCTCATTTCCAGAAGGCTGACTAAAGTTATAAGACTAAACCTCAGAAGAGACAGGACCTCCATCTTAAGCTCCTCCAGCAGCGTGGTTTTGCAAGGAGTGTGCTATCGTCACTAATGGGGCCATACACAGGAGTTCTTGTGTTTAAACCCAAGGGTTGGGACTCTTCCAGGGCTTGTTTAGGGTGTTCACATCTTGGGTCCTCAGCCTGGGGTTTTTAATGTTCAGAAATAAGTAGGAAGTAATAGCCCCTGATCCACTCTTGAACTTCTTAAATCTTCTTTGATAAGACTGAGTT